TTTGCGACGGTCCAATCAAACTGCAATCTAGACCTGCAATTTCTTTACTTTTAAATTCAACAAAAATCTATATGAAAGTTGATATGTGATAATGTCTTGACTATAGTTCATCCATTTGACTCATTTCTTTATCCAATTGACCTCTAACACTCTCGAATCTTCATCACAAGGTCAGAAACAAGTTTAGAGTATTGACACTTTAGTCCTTGAACTTTCACTTTCTTCCATTTTGATCATTTCTCGTCCTTTTCTTCTAATTTCCACCGTATTCGTCCATTTGCAACCAAAACCTAAATATGAGTGTACTTAGAACATTTAGGTGCTAATAAATCATGAAAATGCAATTATTAGTGGANCAAAATATAAGTGTACTTAGAACATTTAGGCGCCAATAAATCATGACAATGCAATTATCAGTGGATGAAAAACGTGATAATTGCACTATCATCACATGCCATCAAGCAAAAATCAAATAAATAATTTTATAAAATACATTGAAATTTTGGATTTATTGTGCACCCAAATGAAATTAGGGCCGACCATTTTGACTGCTTCGTCGTATGAGATAACCTGATTAGTTTATAAGTACCATGTCTGGGCATTTCATTCTGAAATTTTAGTATGGAATGTACGAGGAGAATTTTTTCAAGCTGTGTTTTCCAAGTTGTATCAAACAATGAAATATCTCCTCCCTTCTAGTGTAAAAATTCAACCCCACACATTTATGTAAATTAAATCATTCAAATATAACTTGAATTTTAAATTTTAGGTTTTTAATTTTAAATTAATTCTGAAAATTAAAACCAAAACTAGAAATATTCTAATTAGAAATAAGAATTAAAAAAATAAACATATTACAACTATAAAAGAAAACTAGAAAAGATAAATTATAACTGTAGTAGGAAACTACTAATCATGGTTATGTACTACATCGAATAGTCCAAATCCTCGTATGTTGGTTAATATTTTCATTATTAACCCTTACCATGTCGTAAGATGTTGACTTGTTTGAGCACACTAATCTTAAATTCGATTGTTTGACAAATGTACGGATAATAATGAGCATTATTTATAATGTGTAATTGAAATTAATGTTTAACTTTAATTAAATTTACGAGGCTAAAATTTATGACAGTTTGGGGGTTTTGACTTCCTTCTCAGGAAATGATGCTTGATTTGAAAAGAAATATTGGTTACTTTACAGATATAATTGATATGAGAATAACTTCACATGGATTTGTCGAAGTTGTAGTTTTAATAGCCTACAACGAAAGATATCTACAAAATCTGTCTATTGTCTCATAGTTTTAATCCAATTCTTGGGAAAATTGCAGCAATGGTCCCTAAAATTTTCAATTTTTGAAGACTTTACCATAACATTTAGAAAATATACAACGGAGGTCCAAATGGATGAAAATAACCATTAGTTGGCCAAAGAAATTGATTTTGACCAAATTTAAAATGGATAAAATGGTAACTTTGTTATTTACCACATTAAATAAACAAACAAAAAATCAAAATAATTTGAAAAAAAAAAAAAACCAAAAAAAAAAAAAAAGAAAATAAATAAAAATGGTTATCTTCTTCCTCACTCAGCCGCCACCGCTAAACAACTTCCACCAACAAACAGAAATCAAGCAAAATTATTAACCCAACAAAAAATGGTTAGCGAAATCTCCCAATGTCGACTCATCTTCCGACCACTGTAATCTAGCAAAATTTGACTACAATAAAATCTAACAACTGTAAAACTAAATGATGCAACCCCGACAGCCATTCAATTTTGATAACCCAATAGCCTTTTGGCCCCCAATTTTGATAATCCACCAGTTGCAATATCGAGAGAAAAAAATAGTAATTCTTCCCATACCATTTTTTGCTTGGCAAATGACATCCATTCCCAAAATAGTTTGAGGTATGCACTCATGTTGAACTGATGAAGAACTAATGAGATTTGATTCATAGAAGCCATAGTTTCAATCAAAAAAAAAAAAACATTCAAGCCTCAGTTTCCAAGAAAGGGAAAGGGTAAATGGGTTGGGTTTGATTTTGTTTTGGAATGAAGGTGGGGATAAGGTTGGAAAAGAAGATTAAACGGGTGGGGAAGCCCATCGGAAGTGACGGTAGCGACGACGATGGCGAGTCATGGTGGCCATTCATATTTTCGAAAGGTTAGGGGTCTTCATTGGCACAAATTGAAGGCTATGATAAAGTTTAAAAAAATGAAAAGATTAGGGACCATTGCTGCAATTTCCCCTTGATTCTTTCCATACGTTTATGATAGTTTTTCCTCTTCATTTTATGTACGAACATATGAAGTCCAAAGAGAATTAAAACATAAAATTTTCATGTAATGAAGCCTTTGTTTGATTTTCATTATTTTCAAAATATATTTTCCTCATTTATTTTCAACAATATATTTTTCATCAATTTACTATTCTAAAATGCATTCTACACCAATAATGATGTTCAAACGGGCCCAAAATAAGTTCGACACTCGTACTCTTGCACTTTCACGTAAACATTATTCTTGTGCTAAAAAAACATATACAATATCAATTATGCTATTTGTACAATGTTCGATGATAATATTGGATGGCAATGTTTGATGTGTCAAAAAATTGTTGATTGAAAAAACGAATTTTTTTTCAAACTGTCTAATGGTAATGTGTCGTGTGACATGTTGTTAATAATATTGTCAAATCAACATCGTACACCAAACCCGGTTTATACAATATAGCCTTCAATTATGTTTGCAAAAGACCTTGATGCTGAAATTTCAACTATAAAACAGTTGTTGCTGTCTTATTAAGTTGGGGGGGGACCTTGACGACATTAAATAAATCGTACAATTCAAGAAAAGGCAGTAGTCATTCAAATGCAGCACACCTTTTGATTGAATCAAGGGGCGCCAATGCCATGTTTCCTCACGGGTATATTTGAAGTCAAAAGAACCAAGATTTGTAAGAGAAAACTTCAATATGAATTGACTTGGACAGTTAAATACAGATACTTGCAACGATAAGTTCTTAGGGCATGTTTGAGCCTTTTTTTTTTTTTTTTTTATATGCATTTGGGGCTTACAAATGGCTTAGGTCTCAATTATGGTCCGACATATTTATGAAATAATATTGTCAAATCAACATCGTACACCAAACCCGGTTTATACAATATAGCCTTCAATTATGTTTGCAAAAGACCTTGATGCTGAAATTTCAACTATAAAACAGTTGTTGCTGTCTTATTAAGTTGGGGGGGACCTTGACGACATTAAATAAATCGTACAATTCAAGAAAAGGCAGTAGTCATTCAAGTGCAGCACACCTTTAGATTGAATCAAGGGGCGCCAATGCCATGTTTCCTCACGGGTATATTTGAAGTCAAAAGAACCAAGATTTGTAAGAGAAAACTTCAATATGAATTGACTTGGACAGTTAAATACAGATACTTGCAAAGATAAGTTCTTAGGGCATGTTTGAGCCCTTTTTTTTTTTTTTGTATATGCATTTTAAAATAGTAAATTAATGAAGAATGTCTGGTAAAAATAAAGATTTTTTTAGATTACGTGTAATATTATTTTATTGAAAATATATGATTAAAAAGAACAAAAAAAAATATTTTGAAATAAAATTAGGATCAGAGAAGAACTTAATATATATTTCACATCACTAGCATAGCAAATGAGAAAGAACATACTTGCATTACCATTTTTAAGTCATCACTCTACAAGTGCAACTACTACTAGAAAACACGATATCAACGATGGAAGATTCCGTCATTGATGCCTTAATTCCAGTTGATAACAATAGTTATCAACGAGAATTTTTCGTCGATAAATTTCATCGGGGTCAATAAGGGCCTGTTTGAGCTGGATTAAAATTAGATATTAATCTAAATCAAAATCAAATAATCAATATTAAACATATCTTTCATGGGTCCCACATCTTTTCAACCACACATTTCAAAAACTTCTATCACAATCCACTAAAATTCCAATTTTAATCTCTACCAAACACCATCTAATTTACATACAGAATAATAAGAATAATAATATAATTTATAAATTTGTGGGTTTTATATAGCTTAGAAGTCGATATTTTCCATTGATAGTAAATGCAGGAAATAACGTAGAGACAAAAAAAGAGAAAATAGAGATTAATTGATAATTATATATTATAATGAAAAAGGCTATCATAGAAATGAGAGATGTCACAGGAGTTCAAATGTGAAAATAAAACAAAAAAATTGCGCAATATTTTATACTTTATAGGTTATTTTTGAAATATAAATAATCGAACTTGAAAGAAACCGACCAAAATCAATCAATTTTGGTCCAATTTGCTTAGGGGTTATTTATGAAATATAAATAATCGAACTGGACCGAAACATGGACCCAACCAAAATCAATCAATTTTGGTCCAATTTGCGCTTCGTTCTATGCCAAGTTAAGCAAAAAAAGAATCATTTTCGTAGAAAAGATCATTCATCGACAATTCGTACATTTTTCCACAATCTCCACTATTTATTCCATTTTCAAAATTTGTAGTCATGTTACCTGCATTATACTCGTGTCTCAATTAAATTAAGCGTTGTCAACTCAATCACAAATAAAAGTTTCAAGTACTATTTGGAATTTCCACAAATTTTGATACCATTATACATCTTACACAGGCACATTTCCGTACTTTAACAGAAATGCTTTAATGCAGAATTTACAAGTTTCACATGCACATCCAGATGTACAGCACCAGTGGGGGCAGCTGCAAACGATTCTTTCTACCCACCGAAAAACAACTCTAAAAAAAATTACAAATACGATATTACAACCGGGATTAGGCATCTTGATATTGAAATCATACTTTTTTCTACTCATGGATCACCTCAATTCAAGTTTTGTACATATGGGCATGCTTGAATCAATAGTATTAATGAAGTATTTGCTGGATACTGTGCACATGAGCGTGCTAAACATGCTCTATATGTTAGATTCTTGAAGTGTGCTAGGATGGAGCTGTACGTGGTCGGACCAAGACCTGTACACCGCCCCTAAAAGTGGCAGTGAGGCCTGGAGAGAACTGCGGAGTGGTCTGCAGTTGGGCTAGTTCAATACGAAATCTCCTCAGCAATGAAAGTGCAACACTAATGAGCTCCACAAGTGCCATTTCTTTACCTAAACAAATCCTAACTCCAGCTTGAAAAACTGGGTACTTAAAAGGGTTTTCTTGAAAGAAAACGCCTTCGTCCTTCAACCATCTTTCTGGCTTGAATTCCAAGCAATCTGACCCCCAAATCTCTTCCATTCTGCCCATGGCATATGGATGGTAAGTAACTCTAGTACCCTTTTTAACGAAAGTACCATCTGACAAAACATCGTCTTCTAAACAGAATTTTGAATCAAATTGGATTGGTGGATACAATCTCATGCTCTCATATACTGCAGCACGCAAATAGTGAAGTTCTTTGAGTTGTTTGTAGCTTGTGAGTTTTTTGTTTTGGCCAATTACTCGATCAGCCTCGACCAGAATAGCTGTCTCCACCTCGGGGTGCTTTGCCATCAACCAGAAAAAGCTCGTCAAGGCTGATGCCACCGTGTCACGGCCAGCCAAGAGGAAGCTTATCACAATATCCCTAAGGTAATTTTCATCACTGACAGTGACCATAAATCTTGAAAGAAGATCTTTCTCCTCGGAAAACCTGAATTTTCGCCTTTGCCTAATGACTTCATGAGCTAACAAGTTGATTATCTTGATTGCGTTATGAAGTTTTTTCTCGCTTCCAATATTGAACAACCTCTTCATCTTCCAAAGAAGTGGCGAAGCCGTCATGGCTCTTTCAGCCGACAGCTTCGATGCTAGGTCGAAGGCGGCTGCGAATTTTGTTATTGGGAGGGATAGATCAAGACACTTTGGGTCCAACCCAAATGAAACTCTGCAAATACTATCAAAGGAAAATCTTTTAAAAACATCTTGTAAATCCAAGATTCCATCTTCTTTACCCACGACAGATGCTAAAAGGGGTAACAGCCGTTCATCAATCTCGTGATGAACAACTTCAAAAGCGTATTTTTGTATTGACACACGACCAAGTTCAAGACTAGTCATTTTTCTTTGAAACCTCCACAAATCACCATCCACGTTGAATATGCCCCTGCCCAAGAAATCACCCAAGATTGTGGAAAAAGGTTTTCCTTTTGGGAAATTATCAAACCTGGTTTTTAGCATATATTCTACGTTGTCGGGATTTGCTGTTATAGTATTACCAAGAACATGAATATGAATCGTTCGAGTGGGAGATTTTTGAAGCAAATGAGTGTACCAATCACAGAGATTATCAAATTGGATTTTCCAACTTGAATTAATGTACGTTTTACAAATCTCACAGTTGCAATAAACCCTTTTCTTCAGGATGAAAAGGGCTAAAAAGATAATCATGATTATAGATGAGAAGATAAGAATCCAGGAGTTACTAAAAGACTGGAACCACCAAGAAAATGCAGACTCCATGGACAAAAAAATTGAAGGATAAAAATAAAAGAATTGATAGCAGAAGATTTAGGAGAGAAACAAAATGACATAAATAGTGAAAACTACATATGTTTTAATAAAAAGATTGCATGTTCACACACATTCAAAGGAAGTATATATAATAGTAGAGCACCATTCACTAATTTATTTTGTTGAAAAATAATATTTCAGAAGAAAAAAAAAAGGAATATAAGCACGAATAACTCGTGAATAAAGGGAAAACTTATCCCCGTGCTATTATTCTCTTTCTGTACCTTCCACTGCGTAGAAAATAAGGATTCACACACTGAAATGTGTGGCTACTGGTGGGACATATTTCGATGTCAAGGGTGAACTTAAAACTAGCGATGTCAACAAGTCGAGTTGAGCCCTACCAAAAAAATGAGGCTCGGCCCGAACCTTAGTGGACCAAGCTGGCTCGAATTTTTTGGTTTTTTTTTTTTTTTNGGCTCGCCCGGGCCACGGGCCGGCCCGAGCTCGAGCCGACTCCCCAAAGTGGGGCTCGGCTCGAGCTTGTGCTTTTTCCGATCCGAGCTCAAGTCGTCTGAGCCTTCGAGCTTTTTTGCCACCACTAATTAGATATCGACTTTATAGTGGGGTAAATATTTTTTAGGACGATTTTATGCAGTAAAGGAATTGATGGAATAAGAGAGAGAGAATTTTTTGACAGTACTATTCTTTGTATTTTATAACATAAATTAGTTGGTATTAGTTTTTGTCTTTTTGATAGTCTTAATTAGGAAAGAAAGCGGTAGTTTAATATTCAGATAAAATACTCTATAAACGAAAGTGAAAGTGATATTATTTAGGAATAATTGCTGCATTTGTCCCAAACCTTTGAATTTTTTTGCATATTTTACCATAACCTTCACTTTATGCCATCCACAGTCCCAAACTTTTCATAAATTTGCACCTTTGACCATTAGTTGACCAATAAACTTGAATTTGACCAAATTTAGACAAATTTTTAAATGTTAAACTGGTAACTTTGCATTTTACACATAAAATAAGTTAAAAAATTAAACTAAAAAAATCAAAAAATGAAAAAACATATAAATCCACTCCACTCCACCCCACCCCACCCCACCCTCAATCCCAATCCCAATCCCAATCCCAATCAAAACCACAAACCCACACTGCCACCACCCACCACACAACAACTCACCTCAGCTATCAACCACCACCAACCCACACTGCTACCACCGCATCCATCTCGTCCATTCACAAATGTTGAAAGCACACTTGCCACACTATTCTCCCCAAAAACATAAACTCACTTATTAATTACTCATCTCCGCACCTGCCACACCCCAAGAAAAATAGCCACAGCAAAACGACAATAACTCTGAGCAAAATGACTGCCAAAACTTTGAGTAAAACGACGTTAGCTTTGGCTAGCGGTAGACACCACAAATTCGCAACAAAAATGGCAGAAAGTTCGAGATTCAAGGTGAAATTACTTCATCTTTTGCCATTGTTGTATAAAAATCGAAAGCTTTTGACAATGCAAAAAACCTATTGCAACTTACCCTTACTTACGTTGAATTACTTAAAACAATCGGGTCTATTAAAGTCCCCTCCACGTGGTTAGGTAAATCAGGGTGGATGGTTAGTTTGGGTAAGGGGAGTTGTGGTGGCGGTGTGGGCCGATGGTGGCTGAGGAGAGTTGTTGTGGTGGTAGTGTGGTTTTCTGGTTTTGATTGGGGATCGGGTTGAGGGGGTAGGGTAGAGGTGGGGTGGGGTAGGTGGGGAAGGTGGGGAAGGTGGCGAGTTTATATGTTTTTTCTTTTTGTAGTTTAATTTTTTAACTTATTTTATGTGTAAAATGCAAAGTTACCATTTTACCCTTTAAAAAATTATCTAAATTTGGTCAAAGTCAATTTTCTTGGTCAACTAACGGTCAAATGGATGATCTCTATCTATTTGGACTTTAGGTGCGAATTTATGAAATGTTTGGGATTGTGGGTGGCACAAAGTGAAGGTTATGATAAAGTCTGTAAAAAAAACTCAAAAGTTTGGAACCGATGCTGCAATTATCCCTATTATTTATTAGTATTTACACGTTTAGCGAAATGTATTGAAAAATAATGGCCAGTATTACATAAGAAACCATTTGATTTTAAGTATGAAAATATATACGTGCATAAAAAAAAAAATCACTCTTTATGTGTAGGGAAATATAAGGTTAAAATAAATATACGTATTTTATCTATAATACCTCAAAGTTTGAGGTTAGATGGTTAACTTATAGAATGTATACATTGCCATTGTTTGCTTGAGTTTTTACTCTTATTTTCGACATTTCTTTTCTTACGCCTAGTCTGATTAGTAGTGGAATCGAGCCGAGCGGCTCGTCGGCTTGGCCGCTCGGCTTGTACTGTAGCGACTCACGAGCACGAGTCGAGCAGGCCAGCTCGGTAGGCGAGCCGAGCCTGCTCAGCTCGTTTTTGACGAGCGGCTCGTCTAATTTTTTTTAAGAAGGTTAGTTAAAAAAAATTCAAAAAAAGCGAGCCTGAGCCGAGCCGAGCCGAGCCAAGCCGTGCTACAGTACGAGCTCGTGGGCTGAGCTCAGGCTCGGCTCGTTTTTGACGAGCGGCTCATCTAATTTTTTTTAAGAAGGTTAGTTAAAAAAAATTCAAAAAAAGCGAGCCTGAGCCGAGCCGTGCTACAGTACGAGCTCGTGGGCCGAGCCGAGCTCGCCCAAGAGCAACGAGCCGAGCAGAAGCTTGGCTAGTTTTATAACGAGCCACGAGCCAAGCTTGCCACCACTGAGTCTGATTAACCAACGATTATGAGCTTTCAATTTTTTGCTCTAGTTTTCTTTTCTAATAAAGTCTTGCACGGTGACATACGGACCTGTTTTGACACGTCTACTTTTAATCCTTGAAATGTACAAGTCTTTTCCTGTCTTTAGTGTTTCTTGCGTGGCATGTGATGATGAGGAATTTAGTTACAACTTACAACTTATATTCTTATATGTCTGTTTTTTTCTTGTCTATACTGTCCTGTACCAATTTAGCCTAATCTATTAGAGATTTCTTGTCGGGTAAAATGAATCTTCAGCTGTTGGAAATAGAGAAATTACTATTTTTGTAATTAATATTAAATTTAATGTCAAAATAAGTTACAATAAATTAAATTTTTTTGGAAAATAAAATTTTCTTGTTTTTAAATTTAGGTAAACATACATAGACATTAGTTCTGCCTAACATTTACCCAATAAAGCGTTGACACAATATAATGAGAGAATAACAAGCATGTCTAAATCTCTTTAAGAAAAATATATAAGGTTTTATTTTTGAGATTCAACTAGAAAAACAGCTATTCCTATTTCCTAACTTGATTGAAGAAAATTATGTAATAGTTTGTTCGTGGCGCAAATGGTCCTTCCCCTATGCGTTGCTGCGAAAATGGTTCCTAACCTTCAAATTTTGACGCAAACATTTCACTTATTCGGCATAGTTGATCCTTTTAGATAGTTTCTATTCAATTGACAATTGAGAAGGTTGAACTTTTGATAAAAGTACCAAATTATCCTTATTTTTAGTTAAACAAAGAAACTAATAAAATAAATAAATAAGCGAAAAAGAAAAATAATAAAAAAAGGGATAAAAAGAAAAGGACAATTTATCCTACTAACCAATCTCTTATAAGAGGATATCCTATTCAAACGTGGATTGTTTAAAAAATAAGTGTCATATAAGCAAAATAAAAAGAATTTAAAAAATGTCTATAATGCAAGTTGACAAGAACTCCATCAAAATAATATAACAAAGAAAATAATAGATATAGAAAAACTTGCAATCCATGTGCAATTGTAATTAGGGATAGCAACGGTTCAGTTTGGGGTCGGTTCGGCCAAAATCATAAGTGCACCACCAAATTTTTGATCATACCATAACCGCGCTATAACCACGTAAGTCGACTTGATTCGTATCTCGGTTCGATTTGGTTATTTAATAGTTTCTAGATGATTAAGCATATAATTCAATCATCTCATGTTTGAATACCACAGTATGTAATATTGAAAGTAATAAAGAATTAATATCAAAATGAAGACGAAGAAACCCAATTGGGTAAAAACTCTGAGACCAATCAAATTACCTCCACTATAGACAATATGAATTACAGTCAGTTTTCAGCCTAGCAAATTCTCCTAGTTCCCGCTGTTGTAATTCCTGTAATCTCCAAGTCTGCCGTTCCCCCAGACTCACGATTTGTTATCGTAGATACTATCTAGCCAACCTGCTAGATCTCCCGATCTACCTCCTGTAGCTTCCAAGATTCGCTGTAAACTTCAGACTCCCCGATCTTCTTCAATTGTCTCTTCCAAGTGGATATCCATGAATCACCTATTCCTGTTCTTCTTCCCGCCCTTGTAGTCTAACCTCTCTCAACCTCCAGACACTTCTGAAATCCAACTGAGAAAGTACATTCCTCAAAGTATTAAGGAAATAAGGTGTTTTGGATTCACGAACCTTGATGTTTTCCCAAAACTTGGTTGCTGAACCTNATGTTTTCCCAAAACTTGGTTGCTGAACCTCAATAATAATATGAATGATTCACCAATTAATTGT